TTTATTTGGGGTGGGGGGGGGGGGGGCGGGGTGCGGCCGGCCAGTCTGTGACTAATTGCTAGACCCCCCACTTTCTCCACAGAAATGTTTGCATCATTATTTTTAATTCTTAGTGGTCCATAAGTTAGTTTTCCACAATGTGTAATGAAGATAACTATATTGCTGACGTGAGTTTGAATAATTTATTCAGTTCATTTGACAGCTTTCTAGAATGACTCAATCTATTCATTAAATTCAATTTTATTATAACTTTCAAATACTTTGTTCAATATTTAAAATTATATCTTGCTGTATTACTCCCTCCTGGAAGAACTGGTAATTTGGAGTAAGACTCCTCCATTCCTTCTCCTCATAATACAGCATAGTTCTGCTGAATGACAGGTGAGAGTTGATATGTGTTGACCTGGTTCTTTATAATTCATAAATAAAAAATATTTATGTGGTATGATTTCCATTACGATAAATCATGTCATACTAAAAGAAAGTGCCATAAGGCTTGGTTACATAAATCAGTGTCAGTTTCTGAAAAGTTGCTACAGCAGGATGGGACAAAAATCTGGAAAATGACATTAAAATGCTGATGTCATTCTCAGAAAGACTTCTATACATGGGACAGGAATGTTCTTTTGTGCATACTAAACAAAATGTAATGGATTTTATAGAGCAAATTCCAACCTGACCTTGACAAGCCCAACTTTGTAGTATCTCTTATCATTTGCAAAAGTTGGGTGTTTATCAAATCACCACATAGCAATGACCACATGACATTTGCTGAAACCTGTGACAAATGTATTTGTCATGCACCTGTAAATATCTTCCCTGCCTTTTTACTCTGCTCATTTCCCTGATCCTGTCAGGAGCATTTCAAACTTACGAGTTACCTAAATCATTTTCCTCTTTTTAAAATCTAAGCTGTCATGGAAAAATTCCTTCATCCTGCTCCCAGTGGTGAAATTTACAGTCCATCTCTCACCCTTGCTCTAGTAGAAGGACATTTGTCTCTCTCTGAAGCTGGAAATCATGCTTCATGAGAAATTCCTTTACCTCCAATTTTGGAAGGACAAGTTGTAAGACACTGTAGATGCGAAATCTGTGGCTAAAGAAGCAATTTCAAACTCTTAAAGTGATTGTAGCTCTCTTTGTGCTTAGTGCTGTCAGAGTTGGACTAATGCACACTGCTATCCAAAATTTACTCTGATTAAAGCCTCACTGCATCACTATATGATGTTTCTCAGCTAGCCAGCTCAAGGGTTATGGAAATTTCTTACATGTTTAGTTTTAGACCCCCTCTGATGGTCTAAATCAAAGTTTCTTCTGAAGCCTTTTATTTATGAGGTAATACACGAGTTAATGGCTTTTTATTAATACCACTTTGCTCTCAATTACAGAATTATAAGAGATCATGGCCTAATCAACCTCAGAAAATTTCAGAGTGAGTATCAGGTGTAACTGCTTAACTTTAGAGTGGCCTCTGCTTGGGAAGAAATCTTCGCATGTTCGCTGTTTCCAGTGCACCAGTGTGGTTTATTCATACTGGACCATATTCAGATGGTCTGAATTCCAGCAGATTTCCTGCCCCGACTGTTTCTAATGGGCTGGCTCTAACTACTCCCAGCTCAGTGTTTTAGTTATTGCCTCGGAATTGCTCTTCAGAAGCATTTTGGGCTCCACTGAGTAGGGAGAGCGGTGAAGGTGAAATCTAGGCCTTTCAAGTGCATCTCACTATTCTAAGAAATGATCAAACAACATTTAAATATCATCCTTTATGCTTTTAGAATTTTAAGGGCTGTATGATTTTGTTGCTTTTTACTCAGCAATTTGTAGTTGGGCCACCAAAATGGCCAAGCAGTTTACCAAATCTGGATCTTTGGGCAGTTCACGGAGGCTGGTAGTCACTTCAGGTTCCACTGAATTTATTTTCTTCTCACAGTAGGAGTGATAAGGTGTGTCACTTTTTCCCCCTCTAGTTTTGGAAAGGCGATATCCAAAGGAGGTTCAAGACCTTTATGAAACGATGCGGCGATTTGCACGAATTCTTGGACCGGTAGAGCATGATAAGTTCATTGAAAGTCATGCATGTAAGTATTTTGAGGATTTTAGCATATATGTTCTTCAATAGGCATAATGAGGGGTTGCATCACCTACAATCTTTCCTAAATATATACCACTCCTGGAGGGCAGGAAGTTATTTTTCTCTTCCCCCATCTATCTACCTCAGAAAAACAAATACATTTGTGGTTTGATACATTAAATGAGCAGGAAGTGTTTCTTTCCACTAAACTGTGTCTGAGTTCTTTGTTTGATTTCTCAGTTGACTGAACATTCTGGTCATGTGCTAGAAGGAGTGTTTTCTTATCAAAAGACCACTATTCATTTACTGGGACTCTGTATCACTGAAAGAAAATCCCTAAAATTTATGTCTGTATTGATCGGGAGCTGCCAGCAAATTGTGAATTCTTTGGAAGATACATGTTAAACTATTATATGTGTACATAATTGTATAGTACAGCTGTCATCATGTCCCTTACCTTAAAGGGAGAGGCATTGTTCCATCACCGAATCATCTCGAGTCTTTATGCATAATCATAGCATGCATTTAGTCAAATTCCAATGCAAGTCATTACATCCTGCTTAATTCTGTGACTTAAACTGGGAAAATTGTTGTTCATTAGAAGGAACAAAGCATTTAAACAGTTGCAACTAAATTTTCAGGACACCCTGTGTGACATACCAAAAGCATGATCCTGCAAAATCATGAGTCCCACATTGTGGGTGCTAGTCCTAGAACCTAGTTTTGTTGTAGTGACAGCGAAGTCCTCAAGTTAACCTGATAGTCAAGTACATGCATTACACAGATGTCCTGACTAGTATGAGTAAACAAATTTGAGACAAGCAAACTTACTCACTGTAAAACTAAGCAGTGCCTGGAAGCCAGCTGATAAAAGCTATAGGCAGTAAATATCTCTGAGCAAAAGAAACATGGGTATTTAATCTTACTGACTGCAGAAAAGGAGTTGTCTGCAAAGAAAAATTTTGGAAGGTCCAGTTATGAAAATCATAGTTCAAAGACAATATTAGATGCTATAAGGAGCCTGGATGGAGTAGTTTTTCAAACCTGTTGAAATGCCTTCCAGAAATCCTATGTTATTGTTACTTGTCTTGCCCAGGGTATGGCAAAGGAACTGTCAAAGCATGAAGATAAAATAACTTTTCTGAGCACACAAATACTAGAAACCAACTTAAATCTGTGATCAAGGAGTGTTAGGACACAGTTTGAGATCTGATACAGACTTGTGCAGAGAGGTAAACCTTGTCTGTGGTTCTGTATACTTCAAACTGTGTAGACAAATAAGAAGTAGCAATGTACCTAGTACACCACAGTTCACTGCCGCCCCCACTGACCCACGTTTGTTTTTTCGGATTTCCCTTCTGCTTACTCTTGGGGTAAAACAGTGGAATTTGAGCTGCGGAGGGAAATAAAGCGACTACAGGAATACAGAGCAGCAGGAATCACCAATTTCTGTAGTAAGTACCTGATGCATTATTCAGGCCATTCCCATTCATCAAGGTGTGGAAGGATGATTTTACAACATTTAGGATGTGTTGAATAAAAAGACACTTATTTTTGAAATGCATTTGCCTAGCTCTTTAACTGAACAAGGCTTTAACAATAATGCTTCGGTCCAGCTGTGCTTTTTTAAAGCTAGTTTGAGCCATCAGCTTGGAGAACACACTGTCTAGCAGAGCTCTGCTTTAGTCACCACTTTGCAAAAGATTCAGAAAAAAAAATAAAAATGTCATGGCACAGTGGTCTCCAGTACTTTATCTCTGGACACTTTCACTGGCTATCAACAAGTGTGATATCTGGAGAGAGGCCTAAGACCTCTACGTAAATGAAATGGCCTGGTTTATCCTGGAATTGGATCATGGAAGCTGTTTTTGTTTGGTTTTGGCCTGAAATTAATGGGGGGAGGGGTGCAGGGTGGAATCTAATACCTTCTGATGCCAAGTAGTTGTCATGAGGGAGAATAGCGGAGTCTGGTCCAGAGCTAGAGAACAGTTTCTCACTTATTTCCTAAAGTATAAAAACAACAGTCTGAAAACTTTGACCAAGGCAGTGGATGAGAATGTGGTATCTGTCTGCCATAGGTGCCAGAACATATGATCACCTTAAGAAGACGAGAGATGAGGAACGCCTAAAGCGCACTATGCTTTCTGAAGTCCTGCAGTACATCCAGGACAGCAGTGCCTGCCAGCAGTGGCTCAGTCGACAAGCTGATATGTACGGTTACAGTAAGACTGTGCATTTTACGTACCTATGCTTTAGTCAGGTGCAGCAAACACATTTTTCCATGCGATAACAAATGCATTCCCAATTTATTACAGTAGGATCAGTCTGCAAAATTCAGAAGGGCAAGAAACTGTGGGTAACAGCAATAGTGCTTGTTGAAGTGCAGACAAGGAAGTGACTAGTAAGGGCTCAAAATCTCAGTTTTCTGTATTTTATATTTCAGGAACTTAACTGCTGTAAATAAAGTCATGGAGGGAAATGAGGTCATTATGGTTATTAATGAGGGCACAGATGGCACTTGAAATGTTTCAGATTATTTTAGATGTAGCAGAATTATTAATGTGTAGTCACCCTCCACAAGCACTTTAAGGAGCAAGCTGCAATGCAAAGGAAGTGCATCCTGTATGCTACATGGCCTGAGAAGATGATTTGTAATCTCCCCAGTCAGTCTCCACTGAATTTTTTATTGTCCACCCCCCCCTTTTTTTTTTTTTAAAAAAACAGGTTTCAGACATGGTCTTCAATCTGGGACTGCTAAATATTTAGAAATCCTTTTGACTTCAGATCAGGTCCTGGGTTATGCAAGTTGAACTGTATAATTATTAGAAGTTGGGGAAAAAGTAGTTTCAGGGCTGATATGTGCAGTTATTCTTTAAAAAAATCCATGAAGGCAATTTGAAAATTCCCTTTCTTTTCAGTGATTCCGGCCTGAGTCCTACGGTACCAGTTCCTTCAAATTCAGGTAACTGTTAGATGATGGTCTGTGATAAAAAGCCAGCCATACATCAGTAATACCGTTCTGACAGCCAGTTGGGGAGTGACTCTTTTGCTGGAGTACTAAAGCGTCAGTCCTCAAGCCTCATGGTTAAGCATTGCTTAAGTCAACATTACCTCAATCTGCAACTCATTCCACGTGCAAATCCTGTAGGATTTTTTTGCTGAATTTCTAGATTTTTCTGACTACAGCTGAAAAACCCATCCTAAAGCTACATTAACAAGGCAGGAAAGGAAAGGAAAGAATTTTAACCTGAGAAGAAAATTTTATCTTTAAAAGATAAAGCTAATCCAGGTTTTTAATGAAGCTGTATAGCACATACCATAGCAATACGAAGCTGACAAAAAGCAGATTTGGGAGGGCAGAACACCAAAAACCAGCTGCCTGAGAAGCAGGTAATGGTTGCAGCATCAAGCACTCCAGAGTGACAGAATGAGATGATACAGGTTGCCTATGCAACTTCAGTTTTCTATGAATATGCTTTTATATTCTTTAATTCTGTAATCACAAATTATGGGGTTTTTCCACCAAGAGGACCCCTTACTTCAGTGCCCAGTAAGGACAGATTCAGGGGTCAGTCAAGGCCTTCGTGAACAAGACTTCTATAAAATCACATCTCATTTGTTGAGGTCACAGGGTGGCATGCAATGAATAAGACTAGGATAAAGTTTTACTATAAAGCTCTTAAATGTTGCCAGGGAAAACTAGCTTCTAGCTAGCTCTGCCTCTACATCCAGTTTTTATGTGGATGCTAATAAACGACTTGAACCAAACTTCTCAGAGGTGGACACTGAGTCTGTATGTTCTTCCTCATTTCTGCCAGGAACCTTGGAAATCTGGGTCAGAATACCAAGCAATTAGTCATTGCACTATGTTTTAAACATCTTTGGTGATCGCTAAGATCTGCTATTTTGGAGAGAAAATAGCATTGTGTATTTCAGGCTGGTCATCCAGAGTCCATGAAATGGGGACAGTATCCCCCCAGCTGAAGGGCTAGTATAAAGAATTAAATTGTTTGTCAAGTATTCAGTGGCCCACGAAGGAGAAGGGCTCAAAAGAACATGAATTGTTTTGCCTATGGAACTCAGGTAGCATGTGGTGTTTACAACCAGTATCACATGTTGAACAAAACCCAAACAAAATACCATATAGTTGCTAATTAAGCAAACATCCTGCATACTGAATAAGGCAAGGATACTGCGGAAAAACTGCCACGTGTCTATATAATTAAAGGCTGCATCATACTGAATATACAAGAGGGCAAATTAATGTTGCTTAACTTTACTTTAGATTCTGAGATCTTGACTTTGCAGCCTTAATATGTTTTCTTTAATGTAGTTCGTGTGTGTGTGTGTTATTTCCTAGGTTTATAAAAGAGTAAAACCAAATTCTGTCATGTCTCATCATAGGATGCCCGTTCCAGGCCATAGAAAGAGGGAGCAGCACTGGGAAATAACTTCCTCTGTGCCTACCAGAGACTCACTACTCCAGCTTCTTTCTAGTTCTTGACTATTCTCTCAAGAACAGGCTCCCCTCACCCAGCCATACTCCCATCTGTTTCCTACAGATGCACAGGAGAAAGAGAGAGAGACTCCCCAGTCCCAGAGGCAGGACCCAGGCACGGCAGGGTCTGGAGCAGCAGCCAGCACAGTCCTGGGGAAAATGGAGCTCCAGATTTCCCAGGATCTCATCACTTTGCCAAATTTGGGAAGTCTGTCCCAGGATAAAGAGACCTACCTCTAACAGTGCTACATATGCAACCCACAGCACAGGGGCAGTAGACTTTCTAAAAATGTAAATAAATAACCCTAGCTTTGTTCTGAGCTCTGGAAGTTAAAAAAAAAATACTATTTAGAAAAAAAAAAAACACCAAACCAAAACCAAAACCAACAAACCTGCAAGTAGACGGCCCTGGTGAAAGTTTAAGCTGCACCAGTTAAAGTTCAGCCATTACAATTGCCAAAGTGAGAACTATCAAACTACCTCGTTATAGGTATTTTTCAGTACTGTTTATCATAACAGAGGAAAATAAATCCACAAACTGCATTTGCTGTACAGTATCTGCATCATATTTAAAGGCATTTAAAGAAAACTCTGCTTCATGAATTTGTCAGTAATGCCAGAGAAATTCGCTGTTAATCACACCAGTAAGTAATCTCAGCATCCTTGCAAGGTACTGGTTTCGCACCTGCTGGGAGTTAGTCCTGCACGCTGTGCACACCCAGGGCACACCCTCCACGCAGCACTGACTTCCCTGACCCCGGCTGGAAGAGTCACTTTATAGTCAGGAGGTACAGCCCAGCTTAACCACGCTCAGTGACAATTTGACGGAAAGCTGTTGTCTTTCAGTTCCTCCTAAGAGCCAGGGTTAACAGCATAAGAGTCCTCATTCAAGTACTCACAGCGCTTAACTATGTCAGTTGCAAAATCATACCCTTTATCAAATCGGTGCAGTTTTTATGTTAAGCCCTAAATAACCCTGTCTATAAACACTTGGACCATACTGGGTTAACATCACAGGGATTTAATTGCCTCTGCGATAACACACCTAAGGAACAAACTGCTCGGGGTTCTTCAGTGTTTTCCTTTCTTGTCTCTGCAGGTAGACGGAGTGCCCCACCACTGAACCTCACAGGTCTCCCAGGGACAGAGAAACTTAATGAGAAGGAGAAGGAGGTGAGGAAAGGAATGGAAAGATAATCTTTGTCAAACTTTATCTTCACAGCGCAGGGGTGCTCCCACCATCTGTCTCAGGTGCTGTGAATATCACCTCAGTTATATGCCATGACTACTCTTTCCTGCTCACAAAAATCATTCAGGTTTTCCAGTGGCTTCTTAATTTCAGTTACTGTACTATAGGTACAGCATAGCTGCAGCAGATTAGCTTATTTAGCAAAGAAAGGCAGAGCGTGCTAAGATGCTATTATGTGCTATTATAACATCCAGAGTATGACATCCTCCCTTCCTCCATTGTGCGACTGGGGTAAGCAGAAGGGTTATTTTTTCTTAATGAACATTGTTTTTAAAACTGGCGGAGGATTTTGTCAAGGGCTTCACTGGACAGATCACTGAACCTGAATAGCAGAGCTCTTTCTATATTCTAGATACCTCACAGCCCAACTTCAACCAGTTATGGTTGGTTTTTCACTGTAACGCTAATGTGAACCATGGAAGTGATAACAGTGTATTGTTCTTTTCATGTTTTTTCCATATTTCTGCTTTACAGTGCATATACCAAGCTTTTTGTATGCACATGTGGCAGGGAATGGCTTTCTCTAAGCTGTGGGTTGTCAGCTGGGTCTGGTGTTGAGGTTTGCAGTTCCATATAGAGTGCTCTTGCACAGTCACCTAAAGCAATCAGAGGCACAGGAAAGATCAACAGAGCAGACAGAAGTGGGAATGCAACCCATCCGGCAGCCCCCAGGAGAGGTAAACAATGCAGCAAGGGGCCTGCTGTGTATTTATGGCTCAGTTTCTTCTGCAGCCCAATGTAGGCCTGTCCTCTAATTCAGTGAAAGGCAACACTGGAAAGATATTGAAATAAAAGATGATTTTTTTTTTTACTAGAAGTCATAATATGTCCTTAGATTGCCCACAAGGCAGATCTCGGAGTATGTGAAACACAGATGTATTTCAGACTTTTCCCTCTGTGTGGAAGCTGTTTCCCCTTCACTGGAGATGGCAGCATTGAAAATCAGATCACAGATTCACCATGGAACATGGCATTTCTGGCTCCATTCGGCATATAAATAATCGTGACTAGAGCATTAGTGTATATGGGGAATCTGATTTCCTCGTCAGCTGAGACATAAAGTCTGAGATCCTCTGAATTCTGCAATTTCCTATCAATGAGCAACAATCATTAAGCATTTCCTTATTAAAAGGAGGAGACACTATCTCCATTGGGAGCAATACAGCGCACCATCTAGAAGGCGGCTGGTATTTGGAAACTAAATAGCAGCATTGCAACCTAACAGCAGGGCACAGGGGCTTCTGAAAGCGATTCCTTTTACCAAACTTCCAAATATGTAATGCCCTCCCTGCACCGTTTCCATCCTAGGCTTCCGGAGGGGGCAGGCGTTGTGCGCATAGCTGCTTTTGTAGAAAGGTATTAAAGACTTAGTCTGCAGGGGATTAATAGACAGATGCCCTCCCTGGCTGTCGTCCAGCATGCTGAATTGCTGGTTGCAACTCTTTGGCATGTGTACTTCCCTTGGTTTGTAAAGAACAACGCCCACACAGGACACACTCATAGTTACGCTCCTGTGAGCCGAGAGCTTGCTTTCATCCTCCTAGTTTATTTTTCAGTCAGGAATGTTTTTGAATGCAGCAGCCAGCAAGCTCCTCCCCTCCCTACCTGTGGATCGAAACAGCTCATAATGCAATTACTGTATGCTTCCCCCATACAAAAAAAAAAACAAAAACAAACCACATTTAAAATGTTTTCAGAAAAATATTCACAGTGCTACCCCCCCCAACGGGGATCACAGAATGAAAGAGCATGACAAGCGTTAGTGTTTATTAACTTCACCTTTTGTCTTCCAGCTCTGTCAGATGGTGAGGTTGGTCCCTGGAGCCTATTTAGAATATAAAGCTGCGTTAGTGAATGAGTGTAACAAACAAGGAGGCCTGAGACTAGCACAGGCTAGAGCACTCATCAAGATCGATGTGAACAAAACCAGGAAAATCTATGACTTCCTTATCAGAGAAGGGTACATCACGAAAGCCTGAGGACAGACATCAGCGCTTTGGCTGGGGCAGACAGATGTGGAGAAGCTTTGAAGTCACTTTGACAGCGCTGAAAGATTTTAACAGTGTTGAATGAAGGACATTTCCTTTTGCTTAAAATCTTTTGGGGCTTTTTTTTTCTGTAAAAACAAGTAGGGAGCTTTGTTAAATTGTATGAGTACTGACATTTCTTTGTCTGGTTTCCTTTTGACTCTGCTGTTTAACACTGCTGTTGTCAGAATTATGCTGCCACGTAGCGCTGGAAAGAATCATATGCCGTATAAGCTAATCTTAAATGTGAATGGGCATTCATTTCTAACACCTCCTCGAACTAAAAAGAGAATCATGGTACTTTTATGCTGACAGTGACACAGAATAAGGACAGAAGAGCAGCACGTAATGAGAGTCACACTTTGACTTTGTGTGAGTACAGGGGTATAGAAATGCAGTCCCCTCCCTTCTTGTACTCCTTCCTGTAACAGTGGCAGCTTTCAAAGGAGATAGCACATGCCTGGGGGTATAAAAATAGAGCTTGCAGTGGTCCAGTCTTTTTAACTTAATTGTGATAAAGGATGGGAAAGGACATTGCAGGGAAGCTCCTCAACAGTTGTTACTTTTATGTGATATTAGCACATATCACAGCATGAGAGCACTGTACAAACCAATAAGCTTCATCTGCTCACTACTTGATTTGTGATTGTCAAGTTATATATAATCCCTCAGTTTAAGTCTTCATTGCTCCAGCTCGTTGGAAAGGCTTGATATTAGAACCAGAGCAGCCTTTCGGAACGTAAATAAAAACACGCTCAGTGCCCCGACGTTCTCCCACAAAAGATAACGAGCAAAGAGCACGACAGACCGCCCAGAGCACACACTTCAGCCCTTCCTGCCCTCCTGTTTGTGGGGCCTTAATTCTCTCAGCTTACTGCATTAGTGGTGACATACCCAGTTGACCAACAAAGCAACGATGAGGTGCAAAAAGTTACTATGCACACACTCCCGCCACCCTGTCACATCAGATGATCCATCATACGACTTCAGGACAAAACATTTATACTTGAAAATATAATTGGGTGCAGAAGATGGTTCTTTTCAGATGCAGCTTGGCATGATTTACTAGACAGTAAAGTCTTTATCAGCTTCCATTGCTAACGTATAATGCCAAAATAATGTCCCATAACTAACCTAACAGCCAAAGCAGGTGGGATGTTAGGTGCTCTCAAGTTTGGGGTCTCATATGGAAAAGCCTAACTGAGCTACAACTATGCTGATAGGTATTTAAGGTGTTGAGGTTTTGGATTTTTTTTTCCCCAAGAGTAATTATCCTGTGTACCTGAGGTGCCATTGAACATGAAGTATTTTGGTTTGTAATAAAATCAAAATTACTTGAAACAGTTTTACATCCGTGTTCCTGGGCTCTTGAGTGAGACTGTAAAGGTCGTGTAACTACCTGCATCCGTATCTGTCAGCTTCTTACCATGAGAAAGAAGAGATAAATGCAGAACAGTGGCTGTATGGATGTGACCACTAAATTACCTAGAATATATTACTATTTAAAGAAAAGCAACAGCAATAGACTACATGTTGAAGATTAAAGTCTGTAGAAATTGAGACTGTATAGAATGGGAATGACAAGGGAAAGTAAGCTGTAAATCTTTGGGAATGTTTTTCCCAATTGTCTTTTAACATTAAACAAACAGCCAAACTACCTCTCCTCTTGCCCCATCTCCTATGCCGTGACTTGTACAAAAAAGCAGTAGGTGAGCCAAATACACTGGTACCTGCCGTGACCAGCAACATCTCTACTCAGTAAACTTCAGTGACGTTCCTTTGCCCCAAAGGGACCCAAAAGGGACCGTGAGCGTGACATGCTTTGACCAAACACAGAGCTACCCAAATCCGAGCTGTTGCTGAGCCCTGTGCTTTGGGCAGTGCGAAATAATTTGGCCATTTGGAAAATGCTGGGGAGAAAAGATCTCTGGAAAGGGAGGAACTGCGATCCTTTAGTCGGCCAGGAGGGGAACCAGAAAAGAGACTTTTCCAAGCTAAGTAAGGGAGCGCAAGGCAGTGGGGAAGCGGGGTTGGGATGTTTCCCTCAAACAGCATCAAGGTACGCAAGCAACAGGTTTTCCCCTTTCCCAGGGTATCTCCCAAGCAGGGAGATAACAGGCTTCCAGCATGCCTTATGGCAGGGTCAGTGCCTCTTCGCTGCTCCTCTTACCTTTAATTGCCAGGCTCTAACACAACGTACTGCTGTGCTGCAGAAAGCGAGCCAGAAAAGTCACATCGGGAAAAAGCTGTGGGGTTAAAAAGCTCCATCTGTGCCTGTGCCAGGCTCGGGGGTGAGATGGGGACCAGGGGCTGGGGGAGGCGCGTGGGGGCTGGCCAGCGCCGTGGCCGCGCACAGCCCACCGAGGCACGACCGTCCCGCGGCCGCTCACACCCACGGTCTGAGGACGGGCGAGCGATCGGTCACCAGAGACACGCCGACGGCAGGGTTTTGGGTACAAATCTAACCGCTCGTAAGACCGGCTGGGGTCAGACTGGCCGATGGGCAGGGGGCAGGACGGGGACCTCTTCACCCAAGAGCTTTCAAACCACTTCCAGTAAAGCAAAACGCAACGAACGGACAAGAAAAACCCACCAAATGGTGCCGGCTGGGGCCGAGCTCAGAAGCGAGCTCAGCTGCGCTGGTTTTGAAACAGAGCAGGCTTTCTGCAGGAGGTTCCTCCAGGGCACAAGGGCTCAAGCCAACACCAACAGATCCCTGCCCCTTCAGTGACAAACGCCGCCGGCGCTTCCTCCCCTCCATGCTCGCCATTAAACAGAGAGGAAAGAAAATCCAGCGCTCGGGCACAGGACGGCCTCTCTCCCCATCACTTTTGTCCCCCTCCTCCCAGCCGGCTGCGTGCTGCTACGGCCCCTCTGAACCGTTTCCCGACGCTCGGGGAAGGTGTTTTTTGGGAGAGGAGCTGCCCCCGAGCTCCTGGCTGCCTCGCCGGTCCCTCCTCCTTTAAATCCCGGCTCCTCTCCGACTCCTCACAAAATGTCTCCGTCGCTGCCTGCCAGACCCAGCTCCAGCCTCCCAGGAGCTAGCTGTCGCCTCGATGATATTTGGAGAGGCTTTGAAAGGGGGGAATCTATCTTTATCCGTGCCGGGAAGCGCCATGCGCAGCTCTGGCACTGTGCAAGTAATTAACAATAATGAAAAGTTGGGGTTGCCATGGATATGCTGTTCTATTTACAATGCACATCTCTCCCATCACCCAGACCCGTGCAGCAACCGAGGGAAATCAGAACCCCATTCACCGCCTTGGCGTGTGGTTTTATTTTTAACCTGGATGCTGGAATAGGAAGGCAGCCAGGCGGGACGTCAGGGGCAGGACAGCGGCTGCTCCTGCCCCTGCCATGGGCCGGCTCCTCCGCTGGCTGCCGGATGCTTGGATTGCGGCTTGGGAAGCAGCACACAGGATTTCCGTGCTGCCCTGCCTTACCCAGACACGAGCTCTCCGGACAGCTGCTGCCAGTGAAAAGAAACCCACTAAAAGCGCTTTTCAGATACCTCAAACTAACCAGTCATGACTGCTATAAAAAAAAAAAAAAAAAAAACCAGACAGTCACCACACACCTTTTTTTAAGAGCTTTGCTGTTAACGGGCCCTCACTTCAGAACCTGCTTTGGGACCAGTGTTAGTTCGGGGCGGGGGGGGGGGGAGAAGAAAGAGAAAACAAAGGAAAAAACATCAGCCTGGGAGTTGTTTTTGGCGGGCTGCTGTGCGGGTCTCGCATGCACAGTGCTCCAGGAATGCCAGACCTCGTTAGTACGCTGCGGGCTCTCGGCTAAGGATTGCAGTTGGCTTAATTAGAGACTCAGGTGAACATGAAAGATTAAATATGGAACAAGGCTGGGGACAGGCGGGAAGACGGCCAGTTTGGGTTAATGTGCCGATACAGGTACCTGCAGAATTAATTACGCCAGGACTCGGGCAATGCGGGGAGGCTGTCGCTGCTCCATCCCGGCACGGTCTTAGTCACCACTAATAGCCGTCGCATGAGGTATGCGCAGTATGAATCTTCTTCGGGGCTGTGTTATTCGCCTGTCATTAAAAGCATCGGCGCTGGGGTTTTTTTGGGTCTCACAGCTGCCGTCACACCAGCAGCGAACGCACTCGGCCCGTGGGTGACTCAGCCTCCGGCACAGCACCGGGCTCCCCCGCTCCCCACCGCTGCAGCGGAGCAGATAACGCCGATAACGAAGGCGCAAGAAGCCCTAGTTTTAGCGCCTGCTCGAATTCCCGTCAGGTGGGGCTGGTGAAACCTAAACCACCTCCTTTTGGAGACAAACACCACCCCGCTGGAACTTTCAGCTGCGGTTAAAGAAACACCAGAGCCGCCCTCCCGGCTGGTGCGACACAAAAAAGGGAAAAATCCAAACCACTCGGCAATGCCCCATAGCGATCTCCTCTGCTCTTCCAACAAACAGGTTCAGCGACCTTCCGGGGAAAAACCAGCGCGGATTTATTAGCGAGCATGGAGAGAGGGCGTGCAGCGGCACAGGGAAAGCGCAGGCGTTTCCACCCCGCTCCCTTCGACTGGAGCCGATGGAGGGTGCCAGGGAATGAACCCCCCAGCAGCCTCACGCTATGAACGCCAGCAATCCCCCCCCATTCCTCCTGGCTGCTCCCCACGGAGCCGCATGTGCTTCCGCAGGGGAACCACAGGCCAGACCGCGTATCCCAGCCGTGTGTTGGCAGCGCTGGGTCAGGACCGCGTGGGAACCCAACGGGCAACGACGGAGTAGGAAAGAGCATGAGAAACCCAGACAGGGAGTCAAGCACGAGCTTGGAGCGTGCAGGGTGCCCAGTGTTTTGGGTTTTTACGGCACAGGAGCTGTTAGGCAATGCCTGCTCCATCGCAGGCTCCCCACCGGCCCCCAGCAAGGATCACCTTTTGCACCAAAGCAAGCCACCTGGCACCCCTTGAGCCTTCCGTACAATCACCAACACCTCATTTCTTTTGCAAAGCCTGTCTGGAAAGTCAACGTTTCGTGAACCAGCATCTGCAGGCGCCAGCGCTCCCCAGCCCTTCCCATTAAATGCAACGGGGACGTGAGCTCGGAGCACCCCTGCGCAGCGCTGGCGGGGCAAGCTCTAGCAGGAGGACGCTGCGGGCTGGGCTTCCAGGAGATGTCTGAGGTCCCTGCGATGGGGCAGAGACCCCAGCTCGGCTGCCCGGGAGGCAGGCGGCGATGTGCAGGCTGGGATGGGGAGGGAGGGAGCCGTGGTGGGAGAGGTGCAAGGAGCAGCAAGAGCCTTCGGGGAGGCTGAGCTGCCAGGCCACGTCACTCCATCAGCCCTCGCTTCCCCACCTGGCCACAGAGCCTTTCCCCCGGGGCACGGGGAGAGGGGTCGGGGAAGGACGCCGAGCATCACCCGCCGGCCAGGCCGGAGGCACCCACACCATGACTCAGCGGGTGAGCGCCGGGATGAAGCTCACCCCAGCCTCCGGAGACCAAACGGCACCCCGGCACCCCTCTGCGCCCAGCGTCTCGCCAAAGGAGCTGCCAAAACGCAGCCTGTACCATGGGCTGCCTGCGCAACGTGCCCAGGCGCTCTGTCTCTGCTCCCCCATGATCTAACGAGGGGCACATCCATGCAACATGGGTACCCCT